AGAGCCTTGCAAGAGCCACGAAGGAAAAATATAAGCATTACAATACTCATTTAGGGTATAAATGACGGCTCCAATGATTCACGTTTTATAAGGTAATTTTGAAAGGCCAATGCTGTTTAACTATTAAGTCTTGGAATGTTTGATTGTAATGTTTTTATTTTTTATGTATAATTTTTACACCACACTAAAATGTATGTTTTCAAAATTACCAATTTCAAAGTACCTACTACATAATTTTACCTGAGCAACTGTTCTCATCAATAAAAGACGTTTAAAAATGGCAATGAAATATAACATGAGCATTCAATAATTTTGTATTCATTCCAATTTTCTTATATATTCGGTAACGTTAGTAGCATACTCTATTAACTATTTCTGTTGCATGACGCATTCAAATATATTTGATAGGATCCCTATTTCCACGTCTCTAGATTGAAGTTCCCTGCCACCGCAAACCTCTCCCTGGCGGTATTAGGGAGTTTTAGCACCAGGCGTAAGGATGTATCCTTAAACTCTATTAATCACGTGACTAACTACTTTATACAGTCGTAATGAACAACATTCGGAAGATTTTTAGCAATTGTGACATTGCGTTATACATTAAACAAAAGAAGCAATTCAAGCGTTGAACAAAGAAATTGCATAATATATCAAAGAGTGTAGGCTAGTGGTGAGGTATTTAAACCACATTATGAGTCAACAAATCTGCAGAGATTTTGCAGCCCTCCACGATGAGTATGCAGTCTATAATTTTGAATCGGCTTTTCTTGAGAATGTAAGGAATATCTTAAAACAGTGTTCGTTACGAGCATAAGATACAACGTATCCCGAAGATATCTTCTTTGAACTTAGTTTAACTAATTTCTTTCCTGTCATCTCTCCAACATTTCTCTTTAATTCTTGCCAGCGTTGTGTATTTGGTAAGCAATAATTGTAACCGCCTCACATACGAGAATCGGTTTATCAGAGTAAGAAAATTGCAACCTTTCATGTTTTTAGGCGGCCATTTTGCCGCTTGTAATGTGACCGTAGAGACGGGCGTGCCCTGTATGTGAAGGTATAAGGTCGTTCCTTAAGCCTAAGGTAAGACGTTGTGACTTCAAGGTCCGTCACGTGACTGTTAGCGCATAACGCCGCTACCTTAAGCGTGGCGCTGAAACTGCCTAATAGCGAGTCTGTTGGCGCGCAGATCTGGACGAGCTGCAGACGCGCAAGACGACGGCCGTGACGGAGGTGCTGGCCGACCTGCGACGCTTCACCAACTACAGCGTGCAGGTGCTGGCGTACACGCGCGCCGGCGACGGCGTGCTCTCGCCGCCGGTCGTCTGTACCACGCAGGAAGACGGTCCGTGCCCTTCACATGACCCTTTGAGGCCTAACTATATGCATTTTGTGTTAATTTTAATAAAGATTAGAACGCGAAAGGATGTAGGTATTGTAATGGCTTAAAGGCCTTCGGCCTAGCCACATAGGATTAAGTAATCTAATTCGTTTCTAATAATTACCTATTAAATAAATGAAATAAAATAAATATATTCTATGAAGCTGGTCAAGGAAGAAAAAAATTTAAGAAAAAAAAGAAGTCAGAAAAAAAATTTAATATTTTTTTTGGAAATTTATAATTTTATTAGTTTAATAACTTACAAATACAACAAACAATTTCGAAATAGAAATTCACACCTGTGTAAGGAAGGTGGTTTCGCTGAGAAACCGCTGGGACCCATTGCCTTCCATCATTTCCGTAGAATATTTCGAAACAATTTTTTCATTTTGCCCACACAACCCCATATTACAAACTTTGCAGTGCTATTTGGTCCAATGGAGCTCATCTTTTGTGTTACAATGTGCACAACGTGAACCTTCTTCAACTGGCAGGTGTTCTGCCGCAGATGCTTCTGAACCTATGTCGCTCAGAATTTCTTCTAAAACACTGACTATTAGATCATGTACATGTAACATCTTGAAAAGTCCACAAACTCATAATGCATAAAACGAATAACTAAACTACACGCAACAAATATTATCCATAATATAGTAAATTACTGACCAATAACAAAATTGATAAAAGTACGTAGTTTCCCGGGGTTTCACATCAAAACCACACGTAAAACTACACGTATAGATTCGAATTTTCGTAAAAATAAGTGTATGTGTACTTATATTGACTGTTAGATACCTCCTCGAAATGTTTCCTGAAAATATTCCAGCTTCTAGTAAATTATACAAGAAATAATTGCAAAATCAAAACTCGTGCAATCCAAAATAAAGAACACGGCGTCAACGTTTCCTTTTAAAATTTCGAGAGGGGAATAAAGGGACACATATTTCGCAAAACTCAGTCATCATCACTTACATCCCAATGCTTCAATTGTGAACAAATAAAAAAGAGGGTATATTTTACATTTACGTCTAGGAAGCAGGGCTAGGGACCATTTTGGTATGCCTCTTGAGCGATTAAGTAAACCTCAATCAGAAAGGTGGCTCAAAGCTGAACCTTAATTAGAGGAAGGTAGTAATGAAGAGAAGAATGGAAACTACACTACTGGAACATTTTTGTGTGTCGAAGGTATAGAAGACTGTGTCCATTTTTGGCCGAATTGAGATTATTGGCACAATTGTACGGGTTTCTTGTCGTCTACCCAGAGGTATACAACACTACGTCCTACATCACGAATTGGCATTGTTACAATCCTTTTAAATAACACCAAGTCCATTTTCAAAACCAAAATAAAACATCTTCAAACAACTGTTCTCCTGTAAAAATTTAGTAAATGTGGAATAGTGTCCTACACATACGCCCCACACATTTGTCTATTCCCTTCGAAAAAATTGAAGTTGCACTTGAAAGACGTAACATCACCATTGGTCTGCCCACAGCCCCTGGAGCGCCCTCGGACATTAAGACGGTGGTGAGCTCGCCCACCTCGCTTCTCGTCTCCTGGCTGCCACCCGCAGAGCCCAACGGCATCATCACCAAGTACATCCTGTACACAAGGTACGATTGAATTAAATTGTTGAATTAATGCTTTATTTTACGTGGCGAGACTCGGTCCATCAGGCCTGCTCTTCCGTCTGACGACACAAATTTCGCTACGATCCTTTCAGCAACAGCAGAGAAAGGAGGCGATTTCTAGGGCGAGAAACAGGCTATTTGAATTCAGCTCAGAGGCGTCATTTAGGCTTCAGGACCTTTCACATGCAAGTAAATCTATTAACATGGGACAGCCGGCTTTACTTCCCCTCCGAAGGAAGGCGTACGAAGGATTTTTTCGCCCTTAAAAAACCACGATCGGGTTTGAACCCACCAAGTTGGGTATAACAGTCCGATACGCTAACCGTTACACCATCGCCGCACGCATCGGCAGCACCTGCACTTTGTTCAACAGGCTACACTGCTACCAAGAACGTAGCGTATTCTACGTTCTAACATGCCGATTGCTTGACTAACATGCCAAAAATCGCTTGACTTGCTTACCTTAGTACTAGATGGTGTGCCCTGAAACTTCAACCAATCAACCGATTCATTTCCTGACGGTATCCCAATTTTTAAGGCGCTCAATCAGGAGACGTTTAGAGATGACAAACGTTGAGGTGGAGTCATGCTAACGATGGGCCACCGTTGCGAAAAATCGATTTCGATATTTCAACGAAAATACACTTTTTGGGGCCCATGGATCCGAAAAAATGTTTTTTCTTTCTTTTTTTAACGTCCGTTTGTCCGCCCGTCCGTTCATCCATCCGTCCATCTGGTGTCTGTGAACACTTAGCGCCTTAATCATACGTAGATTTTTTGCAAGGTGAAGAAACCCCTGTTCAACTGGCTCGAGTCCAAACTTTGAGATTTTGAAATAGCAGTTTAGCTATTAAGCTGCTCCTCCCTTTCTGGTTGTAGCAACGGTCACGGAGAGGGACTACAGATTTTGAAGCGACCCATCTTTAAGTATTCACTAACGCGTTTGTTCCTTCATTCGCAATAACTAACCTTAACTACTATCGTTATTTTTTGATCACACAAAAATAAATAAACTAAACAAATCCTACCGACTTAAGTAACTTTCTCGCCACACACCATACTATATTCTTGAGTAGTAATGATGTGACAAAAGCGACCATTTCTCAACAAAAGCTCGTATGGTGGGGTTCAAGTATAGAAAGCTTAAAGAAAAAGTTTGGAGCATTTTTGAGATAATCTTAGTTTTTTAATTTTTTTTAAATTGCGCGTATTACACGCAATATTCGCGAAAAGTACTAAAATTTTGAAAAAAGTATACCTGACCTGAATGAAAGAACTCGCTGTGGAGTATATATTTCATTAGAAGAAAAAATGTTCTATCTTTAATTTTGTAGTTGTAGGAAGACCCCGAAATACATTCATGCTTTTGAACTTTCCCCCGTCGCAGGACGATGGAAGGCGGCGAGGAGCTGAAGCACGAGAAGCGACCGCTGCCCAGCCAGGACACCATGTACGAGGCGAAGGGGCTGCGCCAGCACGTCAAGTACCAGTTCTGGGTGACGGCGTTCACGCGCGTGGGCGAGGGCCAGAGCTCGCCCGTGGTGTCGCAGGTGCCCTCAAGCAGAGGTACGCCCTCCCGTCCCCACCCCCACCCCCAGCCCCAAGGGCGGCTCCAGGAGTTCGTCGAATTAGAAAAGAAAAACAGAATTTGAAATAGTAGCAATTGATTACGATGCGATATACGCTACGCGATAAATTCATTTATTTGCTTATTTATTTTAAGAAAAAATTAGTCAATAAAGGGAACTTAAATACAAATCAAATTTACTTATATGTGTATATTTATTTACTTATTTGTTGATCTTTAGGCACCATTTAACTGCTAAAACATTGCGCCAGTGAGCAGTTTTAATCGTGTCCTTCCATTACTTGTCGCGTGTACCAGGGATGCTCAAATGGGGAAATTCCGGTCAAACCTGGCCCGGTGCAGTTACCACTCAACTTTCACTATACCAGAGCAGACTTGTCCAACGTCCCGTCAGGCCAAGTGGGGCATCTGATTTAGGGCCTATACGAATGTCTGATGCTGTTGAATGTAGTGTGATTACTAGTATTCGGCAGAAGCAATCTGCCGTTCGAGCCCGAAATTTTCTTTGGTCGGACATGAATTCGCTTTGGCAGTACCATAAGTATCTGGTCGGAGGATAATACTGTCTGGATGGAAATTCTTGAGGCTCTCTCTCCCGTTTGTCACTTCCGTATTTTGTCTTGTCAATTCCAGGCAGATAAGGGTGCAGTACCGTAACTTTTATTTTGTAAATTGGCTATTAGGCCGTCGTTTACGCGAAATCAAGTCATAATTTTTAATTTTAGAATTTTGTGTAGATAGTCAATATTGCATCATATTAAAGTAAAGACAATAATAAAACTGACTGTCAAATACGTTTCGAGATATTTGTGTAAGAATTAGTATTTAAATCGTATGTGCAAAAATGTAGGCAACCTGTAACACATTTCTCTAAATTGACGTTATTTTCTAAATTAGAAGTTATAAGTTCTAACACTAGTAAAGTTTAATTTATATTCAGTTCGATGCCTATACAAAATTTATCAAAAAGTTTCAGTTAATGTATAACAAAAACACGTGACTATAAAGATTGAAGAGGAAGGAGAGTCGATCAAATACTACCCAGGAGAGTGTGAATATTTGTATGCATTTCTTCCTCGTGTATTACTTACGTATACCTATCGCTTTATGATACGCTGTGCAACATCCCCCCAACGGCCGCAACGCCGAGCGCGTGGGACCGCGAGTGAGCCGTGGTTGCGCGCGTGTGCAGTGCCGCCGCGCATCGCGTCGTTCGGGGCGACGCTGGTGCGGCCGCAGCTGGGCCACGTGACGCTGGCGTGCCACAGCGTGGGCCAGCCCACGCCGCGCCGCGAGTGGTTCAAGAACGGCCAGCCGCTGCCCAGCTCCGCCGCCGAGATGGCGCTGGCGCGCCTGCAGCCCAGCGACGCCGCCAACTACACCTGCCGCGTCGACAACGGCCAGGGCTCCGACCTGATCGTCTACCACCTCACCGTGCAAGGTATCACATTCTGCTTCGTATTCTTCCGGTCCCTTCTCTTCGTCTTCTTTCTTTCCTTTGCATTATCTTTTTTTCATTCATTTGTCTTCTTGCTTTCCCTTTCCTGTGTCTTATTCTCCATTTTCTTCTCTGCTTTCATTTCCTTTCACGTCTTCTTTTAATACTATTACTACATCTTTTCGTCTCCTTCCTTTTCTGAGTCATCTTTTTTCTTTCTTATGTTTCACACCATATTCTTCATCTTCTACTTCTTATCTTTATTCTGCCGCGTGCTGTTTTCGCTCCTTGTATTACCCCTTGGCCCTTCCAATATTTTTCTCCTATTTCTTCCCGCCCCTTATTATTTTCCGTCTTCATTTTTCTTCTTGTCAATGCATTCCTTAGTCTCTTTTCGTCTTCGTCTCTTTTTCTTCTCTTTCTTGATTCTTCATGACATACGAGTACCTGAAGCCTACTCCGTCTCAGAACGTGTCCTTCAATCTATTTCTGGTTTTCCAAGTTCCCTGCAACAAAAACATCCTTGCCACAACATATTCGTAAACTAGTTTGATGAATGTTTTAATTTTTTCATATTCTTATCATAAATTTTATAAATTTTCGTCTTTTCTTTTTTTATCTCTTTGACTACGATGAATATTTGTACCTTATATAAGTTATTTCCGTGTACTTTTGTTTACTAGACAGTTTTAAACAATTATTTTCTCAGAGAGGCTGAAAATGTTTTTGTTTTTTTCTGGAATAGAGCAAAATGTACTTAAAATAGCACAGTTTCCATTCGATAAAATCAGTATTTAACATTAAAAACTAACATTGCAAAACTATAATATTGGAGAAAGAGATTTTTCCCTGAATAAAATCTGTTCTAAAGATTACAACTTTAAAAACAGGTCAGGTACATTTTTTTCTTAAACGAGTTGTTTTCGGAAAATGTTTGCTTCAAGTAAAAATAATTTATATTTCCCCCTCAAAAAATCTCCAATTTCTTCCTTTCTTTCTTTTCCTCATATTGAACTATGGCTGCTTAAAAATGGAGCAAGTCTCAGTTTTGTTTCTCTGAGAATTTTGTAAAAGTTGCAAATAATGCAAGTAAATATGTTCTGTTGTAGCACCTCTATTTATTTTTGTCATTTTCCCGATATGCGAGACGTTCCGCGGAAAAGCCACCTGGGTAACACCATTCAAATTGCGCCACCTAGTGATGCGTTATATTTGATTCCTGTCATATGAAGTTCCGCTCGACTCGTTAAATCCCGTCCCGTCAATGGAAATATGACACTGAGTAGCGTTTCCCGGGTGGCGCTAGCCTCGCGGCTCCGTTTGATTCGACCATAAGTGTTAGTTTGTGTGGATATGGAACTGTCTTTAAGTATTTTATCTACGACGATGTGATAATGTTCGGTAAGTGGATGCTGTTCGAAGCTTCGTTTTAACACTAATGCTCCAACAGATTTACGATTCCACAAGTTTCATTATGACTTCAGTGTAATCAATTATTTTTAACACAAAAGGATTTAATTGAAACAACCGAATAACATCATAGCTAAGTCGTTCATATAAAATAATCATAGAAATAAAATGTTCCAATGCCTTCCATCTGTGAGTGCAGTTCATCACACTTGGCATAGAGGGCAGGTGGTGGTGGAGAGAAGGGAAATTCCTCCTGCCCCAATACCCCTTCGCCTCACGCGCACAGGCAACTCTGAATCACGCAAAACCATAAAACCACTGTGCAAGTGTTGGCTGGCGCTATGTTTATTCTGTTTTGTGGGTTCGATGATGAAATGATTAGCGTATCGGACTGTTGTGCCCAAGTTTGCAGATTTAAACCCGATCGGTTTAAACACGCTGCAGCCAGCGGTACCATGTAGTAAATGAACTGCATGTAAAAGATTTTCAAGCCTAAAAGAATCCTCTGATCTAAATTTAAATCGCCTGTTTCACTAGAAGACTTATTAATACGAGAGTATAATTTTTATATGATAGTTGACTGCACCGCTCTGTGTGGCAGACAGTGGAGTAGCTAATATTCTTATTTTCAACTATTATCATATCGCTAGGCTTCCATTTGTGTCCGAAACGTTAGCTATGGAGGATGTAAGAGATATTTTGAATAACGTTTTAATTCGCGGAAAAGGATTAACTGTTTTTCCAAGTTGAAAAGATGTATAAACAGGAGAAGAAGAAAGGGAAGTGTAGAATTTATCTGAGAGATAAAGGATACAGGATTTTAAAGGAATAATACTGTGTTCGTGTAATATTTAATGATTTTTTACGAACCAGGGTGGTTCAGTGCTTTCCTTAGTTATTTATTTTGTATATCCCAGAAATAATAAATTTAATTTCTGCTTGAGATACCAATTTGATACGCTCCGGAACCGTGTAAAATGAATTTTGAAGATTTTCTTAAAATATGTTTTGATGAAATGAATAATTGTTAATCGAATTGTTAGTAAACGTCCTATAAAATTGCTGTGCAAAAATTTTCGCTTTTCAGAATCTGTACCGGCAGTTTTATATGAATACCTTAAAGTGGTTATTTGATTTTTTTGTTATAATTCGAATAGGAGATCAAAGTGATGAAGAATTCAGTTGAATTTGGGATAAATAGTTATTGAAGTTAGTATATCGATGTTACTGTAACTTTTTGTTTGAACGGTATTGGTTAGTAAATTTTTATATTAGAATACAGTGACCATGAACATACATATTCTAACAATTATAAGAAATGAGAACATCGGTGTATAAAATAATACACTCAAGTGAACATTGTTTACTGGAAGTAAAACTATTTTTTTCAACGGCTTTTTGCTGTGGGAGTCATGGGGGCGGTTTCTATTCAATTCAAGGATGCCTTATTTTACGCGACGAGACTCAGGCCATGAGGCCCGCTCTTCCGTCTGACCACGCAAATTTCGCTACACTCCTTTCAGCAACTAGCGGAGAATGGATGTATTTCTCGGGCGACGAAACAGGCGATTTGAATTTAGCTCAGAGGCTTCATTTTTTTTTAAATTTCAGTGATACAAATGGAATAACAAATCAAATATTACACACGAAAACAAAAATAATTTACTCGAAAAGGATACCTCCCGAGCGACGATGGAGTTTGTCAGGCAATACTTTCTTCTCGTATATAAAATACCTCTTTATAGTATTGTATAATAAATTGCTATTATTAGTGGCTTCCGTCGGAGTCAGGCGACCGCCAAAGAACCCCAACGTCCCTAGGCACGTGCTCCCCGCGTGCGCCCCCTCCCGTTCCCCCTCCAACCAGCCCCTTTCCCCCACCAACGCGGCCGCGGCGCGGTGCGTTTGCCCAGTGCCGCCGTCGCCGCCCGATCTGCACGTGCGCGGCACCACGAGCAACAGTGTGCTGCTGTACTGGACGCCCGGCGCGACGGGTGGCACGCCGCTCGCCGGCTACACTTTGCACTACCGGCGCGCGCACGGCGACGCCCAGGAGCTGGCGCTGCCCCGCCGCGCCACCCGCCACGAGCTCAAGGTCAGTACCGCGCCGCGCCTGGCCAGGCCGCGCAGCGCGGCGGACGAACTGGGAACCTCCGCGCGACCACCACGGACAGATGGCGCGCAAGCGGCGTTCGAGGTTGCACATTCGCGCGAGGACGTATTGTCCGATTTAAATACCGAATCCTCACAGTCGGGCGCTGAAAGGAGATGGAGATTGTCTTCCAATCGGGATCTTAGTTGCGACTTCAAATTTTGGTATTTAAATTCCAGTTTGTATGACATTTTCCTGTGCCCTTCCACATCTCGACTTTCGAGAGGCACTATATTTAAATTGCGTTGTAATACGCATTGCATTGTAACGCGTAGCCGAAACCCGCGAGGACGTAGTACTATTGTGTATACTCCTATTTAATCACAGTTGCACTTCAAGGTCGCGAGGTGGAAGTGGGATTTTGTCATTCTATCAGAACCTCCAATAGAAAAAAAAATTGAGTCATAACAAACTCACTAATAAGCAAATATTTGTATTGTATTGAATTAATTTATAATAACGATTTCACTGAAAATAAAGTCGAAATTTTAGGTAAATGGTAGGAGTTTAGGAAAAGGTAAATTTTAGGCACATAATTGTGCATTAATATAACGTCTTATAAAATAAGTTTTAAAGTGTTCATTCATGTGAGCGATTTTTTACACACATTATTGCTGAACCAAAATGGATGAGTCAGCTATGATTAACACGTAGAAATTATTTATATTTATTTCACAAACGTCTAATTTGTGCATGTGCCGTTTTACTCTCTATTATTCTTTGCAATTCCGCCAACTGGTGAATATTGGTATAGTATCAATGTATTTATGGCCCTATAATACAAGAAAAGTTCACTTAAAAACTTACCATTTAAGACATTATATTAATGCATAATTGTGTGTCTAAAATTTACTTAGTCAACCTACATTTTCGACTGTTTTTAGTGAAATCGTAATTATAAATTAATGAACACGGATATTGTAAAATTAAATTATGTTGCGCACGAATTTAATGTTAGAGATAACCAAACCAACCAATGGTGTTTAAAAACGTTGATAGTTCTTGAACATTATATTATGAACATGAATATTTTCATTTTGATCGATGTTTGGTAATATCGATGGGTAGGTACCGATGTCGCATTACTAAATATCGGGAGGAACTAGGGCAAAATTCTAGCAGCCGGCTGCTCTGATTAGAAGTTTCCCTTATTACACCGATGAACACCAGGCGAATGCCGGAATAAATGTTCGTAATAAAAGCACAAACTTACGGGACTATCAACCTTAGCAGTTGACGCGGCCTGAATCACTAATCAATTAATCAAAAGCATCACTAAACGGAAGTTGTATTTCCGATCCGAGCTTGACTGGTGCAGGGGCGGATCCAGCCGATCATTTGGGGAGGGGGCACCATAGATTTTTGTCAAATAAATAAACTTTTTTTGTTATTTAAGGTCGCATCAACTTCTAGGTCATTTGCGACCAATATTGCGTGTAACGGTATGGTAACTGTGAGGATGACACGAAATGATGATGATGATGATAGGAGGTGAAAGGACGAACACAATACAACCATGCCCGACGCGGGTCTCGAACCCGCGATCCTTCTGTCCGAGATCGCTAGGACACTACTGCTTTAGCGATCTCGGCGACCGTATCGGCAAATAAACGTATTTTTTATTTAATTTTAATTACTTTTGTTGTCTACATACGATACTAGACATTCTTTTTTAAATAATTACGTAATTCTAACAAATATTTAAAACAATTTCGCCAAATAAGAGAAGGTAACGAACGGCAACCCTAGGCCTTTTGGGGGCTGAGCTGGTGCGACGGCGGCGCGTTGCGGCGTGCGCAGGGGCTGCTGTGCGGCAGCACGTACGCCGTGCACCTGGTGGCACGCAACAAGGTGGGCGCGTCGCGGCCCAGCCAGCAGCTGTCGGTGCGCACGCAGGGCCAGGCGCCCGGGGTGCCAGCCAAAGGCGCGCTGCTGCAGCCCAACTCGTCGTCGGTGCTGCTGCGCCTGCACGCCTGGCCCGACAACGGCTGCCCGCTCACCTACTTCGTGGTGCAGTACCGGCCCGAGGGCGCGCAGCAGTGGACGCTAGGTCAGCGCTGCTCCGCCGCCTTGCCTCTTCTCCTTTCTCTTCTCTTTGGTATTGTTTGCGCCCCTCACACTCACAATATACGTCGGAGTACGATTACACCATGCATTAAGGCGGCTCCACACACGCGGCATTCGGCGAATCCCGAGCAACCGCTCGCCGATTACCGAGCAGTGTGGACGGGTTGCTTGCGATTCGCCGGGCGCCGAACATTCGGTATTCACCCTACCCACCGCGTGTCGGTCTTTTAAACACATCAAAGGGAGCCTAACATTCGCCGGACGCATTAGCTGTTCGGGATTGGGATAGCAGTAGCTCGCTGCTCGGCGATTGCTGACTGTGTGGAGTTGCCTTTATGTTGTTGTTTTTTTTTCCTTTGGCAGTGTTATGTCCGTACCAAAGTTTGTATGGAAAGTTGTGTTATAATAGTGTCTCAAAATTAATGTTACAAATTTCTCGGGCATACACGTTCCCTTGAACAAAGTCGGCAATCGTTCTTTTGATTCTACTGTTTTATGCGGAGATTTTAACATTGATTTTCTGGCCAATCTTGCGAGAAAGGGCAGTATCAATTTGATAAATAACTTGAAATTAGATTTTACAACAAATGTACCTCACGGACCACCTTAATTTAAAGGCACCAATCGATCAAATAACAATTAACAAAAACTGCACTAAATATGACATTGGAACGAAAGATTTAAGAAAACGATGCAGAAATTCATTCAATTACAAGAAATGCAAACACTTACAGGATTTCAAAAACTAATCAGGACTTTTTACCTAAATATGTAATTAAATAAACCTTTCCGGTTCAGTTTGTAATTTGACACATTTATTACAATATTATGTGAAATTATAATGTGCATCTACATCAAACATGATTTATATGAAAGAAACAGTTGCTTGACTTATGTGTTTCTTTGATATTACATAGGAATATTTCCGCATTGAATATCCCTTTTAACCAATTCCAATCTCTCTGACAGTGATATCTGTCATACAGAGTATACATACATATATTCACAGTGATATATACCCCGTCGTAAGTCAGTGATTTACAGAGTTTCAAAACCAAACTAAAACTTTGCGGTGTCCTAACGGCCATTAATCTGATTTGCGTGATTTGCAGATAGAAGGATGCATCTCTCCTGCGTCTTTTATCTTCTCACACAAAGATGGCGAGAAGAGAAAATGCAAAACAGGGTGACTTACGGGGTTTTATAAATAACAGATTCAAATGTAATTAAATTTTAGACCCTTTCATTCCACATTAATACGTGCTTTCCTCTTTAAAAAAATTAAAAATTGAACATTTCACGGAAGTAATGCTTAGATAACACGGGGGATTAGAAAATCATGTAAAATGAAACAAATTATTTTTTCATTTCTAAGCATCAAAACGTATTTTATGATTTCCAAGTCTACTTCCAAAAATACAAATAATTGTTGAGAAGAATTATACGGCAAGCTAAAATCATGAAACACGATCAGGATATTTTGAACTCAATTAAAAAACACAAGCAATGTGGAATATAGTAAAAAATACGACAACATCAACTATAAATCTTGTTGAGAATGTTGTTTTAAAAGATAATGATAGAGAAGTAAACGATACGGCAACAGTGACTAGTCTCTTCAACCAATATTATACCGCCAAATTCCTCCCAATCTCACTAAGGGTTTTAAGTTATTGGATTCAATATCAGACGATTCCACAAAGAAATTAGACACGATATTTGTTTTCGAATCTTCCTCTTAGGATCTCGATGATTCAAATTGTAAAAACAGTTCTCTTGGCCGATATTCAAATATTATTTGCAAAAAAGTAACCGTAAATATTTCAGTATCAGATTTTCAAATTTGTTCCGTAATAACAAATTAACAGTAATTGAATGGAAAACGAAAGAAAAACATTCTGAGACGCCTGTATACTCGTACTTAGTACCTAGAAATATAATTTAGTATGCATAAACTGTCTATTCGTGTAGAAATACAAAAAAAATTACCCTGCTTTACTGAAACCTTATGTCAATATTTTGCGTCAGAATTACATCCGAAACAATTATCTAAAACCGCAACGAGAGGCACAAATTGCAAAAAACAATATTTGACTTACTGAGATAGAAAAAAATAATAAAAATTATTTCAATTAATAAATTATTATAAAACATATTTAAAATTACCTGAATAAAAATTAACGAGTAATACAAAATACATTTTCTGCATCAACTCCATCGAGTACATACAATAAATAAATCTACATCTAAATTCCCTATATTGTAGCCACTAACACTTCGAAAGTATGCAACCCGTGAAGCTTCTTTGTGAGGCATATTGCAGTCATCTTTGTTACGCGCGTTCGGGAGACTTCATTTAATTGTACTTACCGCAAAATAAGGGGGAAATTCTGTGTGACATATGTTGTAAAAGTATAATCTGCGCACGTTTACTTGATATTCCAGAACCTCGATCCCAGTCTTTTACTGTAATACTTGAAGAATTAATAAAAGAAAGTGTGGTTGACAATATTTAAAAACTATATAATTTCGTTCTTGAGTAAAGCATCGAATCGGCCAACTGTAAAAACAGTTCTCTTGGCCGATATTCAAATATTATTTGCAAAAAAAGTAACCGTAAATATTTCAGTATCAGATTTTCAAATTTGATGATCCAAAACTATGATTTGATTTATAAACTTGCTGAGCAAATAAAATAATCAAAATTAAAAATAAAATTAAAATTTTAAATTCCATTTTCAAAAAACTGTGAATATTACTGAATTGGTTGATTCACTCAGCCCTAAATTACCGATAACTTTGGGCTAATTCAAACACAAACTGCTCTTAATTTTCTTAGTTGCTCCACTTCCTGTTAGCTCAAATTTATGACAGCAGTTTCTTTCATTCCGAAAAATAGTATTCCTGTGCTTGATTCCATGGGTATTCAGCACACAATTAGTGCGAAATTAATTACATGCTTTAATTAATGTATTTGAATAGTACACTTTAACTCATTCCGCTGGCTACATTTAAGAACTTAACGGACATGGATTTTTAGTGTTCCTGAACATTATTGGGTTGTTATCCAAACAAAACTGTCCTGTTAACGAATTTTAACGATTCAATAATGTCACTGTTAAAGTTAAAAGCAAGGTCGGGCATAAAAGCAAATGTACACAAAGACGTTCTCTAGTCGTTTTCAATTTGAACCAATATTCGAGAAAGTGTCTTAAAGCCTCATTATCTGTTGTTGGACTGATTTCAACACTATTGCTCAGTTTAATCCGACACCGGATATACAGCAACATTAGAGCAGTAAAATCACGTAAATAATAATTATAAATTAATGCACGGTCAGATGAATTAAAAAATATAAAAAAAATAGGGAGATAGATTCTGTTATAAAATATAAGATGTTTTACCTACTTGTGACATGCTGGAAGTATAGATGTAGAATGTAAACAATTAATTACAAGAATCATAATAGAGATTGGAGCCTTTTTCATGCTTAAGCTTTTAGCTTTTTACATATAAATCAGTTCGTATGAAGGACTGAACGGCCTGGGACTGAACGTGCAATCTTGGCGATGATTTCACGACCACACTCTGAGCAAACGAAGATTTTTCGAGTTATTGAAGGTCTCCATTTTATTCTGGAACCGTAATCGAGTGTGGCTGTCCGCCACTCCCAGCAAGTTTTTGCAATTTCTACCTTCATGTCCTAGATTTTTTAAGATATATTGAATAAAAACTTTATCGCCTGCGGAACCAACCGTAGTTTCTCTGGATGGCTGTAAGTTCACCGAAGATTCACACTTCAGCATTGGATAATAGTTGTAATACCGTATCCTCATTACGAATCTCGGTTGTATAAATGGCAATTTTTCTAGAGCTGCGGTGTGAGGTAATCCAAATTCCACATCCATAATGTATGCTATAGATTGCCACTGCGCTGTATTAGTAGTTTTTATTTTTAAATCAAGGTCGTGATTAAAACAGGCTTTGATCTGTACCCTCCAAAATGCTTCAGCCGCATTGCTAATACGGTTAAGGAGCTCATTGTCTAGGTTGTCATTAGTATGTATAATTTTTGCTATATAGCTGGGGTTCCATTACTCACAGATTATAGCAAATGCGGCTACCGACTGCTAACGTTTCAAACCAAGTTATTAAAATGTCTTTTGTATATTTTCATGATTTAATTGTAGGTTATTTTGAGAGCGTTCATCAACGTAGTGTACTATGTATTTTATGTAAATAAAATGAGAGTGTCTGTGATTTCAAAATAACTGTCATATCTCATCTCCTTATTTAAGATAATATAAATATCAGTTCAACTGTTTTTACGATTTTTGACTGTCTGTCTGTGGTAATCTTTGGGACAGCTAAACCAATTTCGCTGCTGTATTCATTAAAAGGTAGTGTTTTTTGTCCGGCTTAACCCAGGCTATTTTTTAAATTATTGTTTTCCTCTTATATAATGAAGTGTTTTCGCTTGTTTTATGCAAATATTAGTTTTATTCCGATGAAATCTGTTCTTCAAAGAAATAACTTTAAATGATAAAAGATAAAGCGGGACATGGACAATTTTTCGAAAATATATCTTTTGTAATTTCGCATAAAATGTAGTCAGTTTTTAAATAATTATTTTCTGAAACGTGGCTCCAAATTTGTCTTGCTTTTTTCTCGAATAGAGCAAAGTACACTTATAAAAATTAAGCCAGTTTCATTTTAGGTGAACTCTTTGACTTTCCGAAAATTGCAAAAAAATTACCTTTGCAATATTAAAATATATGTCCTTAAAAAATGTTTTAAAAATTAGATTTTTAAATAAGGCTATGAACACTTTTTTGAATGAACCAGTAGATTTATTAATGTCAAATAACGAAATAAATTGATGGCCCTAAGGAGGCACAAATCTAAATTTATAGTCCAGAAGAAAAGTTGGGATCAATTCGTAATGTATTCAAAACTTCACTAGGAGGCCGAAGAAAACCAAAACTACAGTAACCCCAGTACTACTTGATTTTTTTGTTCGTTTTTCTACTTCTCCTTCTTTTCTTTCTTTGCAACTCCTTTTCTAACCTGTATTCTTAACCTGTATTTGCTGAGGAGGTCAATTTGGACAACCTTCTAAACAGGTTGAGACATGTTGTTCGTTCCATCCTGGTAGCTTCCAAACTTAATTAAAAAGGTATATGTTGATATCATGAAAATTGAAGATATTAATTTTTTTCGACAACCCTAATCGAAATGGACTCCATCTAAATGGCAGTGTGTGTGTGTGTGTGTGTGTGTGTGTGTGTTGTATTTTTCTTGTCCTTCAAACTATTTGCTTTTCAATTATAGTTCATGCAATGTTAGATACTAGACAATACTTTAAATGAAAAAATATATAAAATAAATTAAATGTAACTTCAAAGGGAACTAAAGACTTTTTTTGATGTGGTCAAAAAAGTTGCAGTTTTTTATGAATTAAAACATCCTGTTTATATTTAATTTCTAATTTACTTTATACATTGTTAGATAAATAAAATTAACTTTCGTTGTCATTTTAAAGTTATAAATTCTAAAAGTCTTCAGTGAGAAAGATAGTTTCCCTTCAGTGGTTAAAGGATTAATATGCAATAAAACAACAAAGTTTTTTTTTCATATTTCAGTATCAAATTCACTCAAACCTCAAAGACGATTCACCATATCTGGTTTAACACCCTCATCCATGTATCGATTGAAAATTGAAGCACATAATATTGCTGGTTCTTCAAAAGAAACATACTCTTTCGTAACTCTTACCAAGGATGGAGGTACGTACATGTATCCAAACCAAAATGAAGTTCTCAAATATTAAGGACTCATATTAACTCATCATTTTATTGCAGACCCACCACCTCTAGAACTTGTGAAAGGAGGTACCGTTTCAACACCTTTCTACACAGACGTTCGCATAATGGTTCCTTTAGTGATTGCAGTTATAGCACTCTTTGGGACCGCTATTGCAGTTGGAATCTGCTGGAGAAACAGTTTGTACCCTAAAAAATAGAATTATTCCAATATTACTTTAAATATTCGTTTTATTTGATAACAACTTTTATTTTCAGAGCATTCTCGGCCATTAAAGGAATCACTTGATAACCAGCAAAATGCAGAAGCTCAAAGAGAGAGATACTATGCCACCATACACAAAGTAGCAGTTCAAGCAGCTGGAGATAAAATTCCAGGTAATTTCATTACATTTGTATGTGCATAAATATAGAATGATTGATGCTCTTAGTTTAAGAATATTTCGTTTATAATTTCGTCTGATTATCCAGTTCTTTACGAAATGTGGCACAAATACTCCTTGCACTAAAAATAGCTCTAGTTTTTCTGTTCAGTGAATGGCAATGATAATTGCATAAATATTGTGTCCCTTATTCCTGAAATGTAGAAGTACTTAGTGTAAAAGTCACATTCAACATTACACTCTTGAACTGATTACAGACTTTCAAGACATGAGCACTTATTTATGTATGAGGAATGTGAAAATAAGAATTATTATTATAATAATCAAAAAGAATATACATTTAATAAGTACATGATGTTTTTGACTGTCAAATCACCCTTTTACGATATTATCCAGCTCAATTGTCCATTCTATAAATAATTACACGTAATGAGTATAACTGAAAATAATTAATTTAAAAATATTGTCCGGATCTTCACCCTCAAAAAAAATATATTCAACTTAAAATACGCTCTTTCGAGCCTATATTAATTTTCATTTAAGAGCAAATTTTTGTTTGGTCTCAAATAAGTTTATTTTTGTTATGTAAGTACACATATATACTGGCATTCCCGTTCTCCAACAATTGGTTTCCCCTTTGAACAAATATCAGGAATCAAGGCGTTTGATGCACGTCTTCTATCAAGAATATTATTTATGTTTATTTTAGTTGATTTTCTTCAGATCCTTATCCATCGCATCGCACATATTCATCAATGAAAAATAAATGTAATATCATCGATTTATTTTTAAATGAAACCATATAAAATGTACTAGCCTACATCCTTTCAACCATCTACAAAAATGGATCTTTGCATCTGGGGGACATTACATAACATGTCGCATACACGTAAAAGCATGTGCATCCACAATTGTAAAACATCATCCTTACATGTATAACAATATTTTTGCATAATTTTATGAATAATCCAAAGTTTGACACATTATATACTTCAAATGATATATCTTTTTAAAAAATCGGGCGAGGCGAGGCGTTAGGTCATTGATAGATGCAGTAATGACCGAAAAAAATTATAAAAATTATGCATTTTCAATACTTTGAATGCAGAAAAGAATTTCATATTAATACAAAAATCTACAGATAGTTTAGCTCTAATATAAAAAATCTGCTGAGGACAACGAGAGGCACGCAAGTTTCTCCAATATTAGCGCATCGAATTGAGAACTCACCCGCCCATGGAGACTCAGCCGGCCACTTCGTGTCGTATATCCTTTGCACGGCGATAAGCCTTCCACTCATCTCTGCGTTCATAAAATCTCGGCTGTTGCGTCGTGAAACGCGCCATTAAGACACATAGGATGAACTTGTGAAGGAAACGGTTCATTGTTTTTGTACGGGTCCTGATTCTTGAATGCATTGCTACGTATGTAAAGGTAATTTTTTGTTTATTTATTTGTTAGGGTTACTGTCTCCTTACTATTTACGTAGTAAAACAGTCATGTCAAACATACGGCCAGTGGATACTATCAAGAGGCCCGCGACCCGATCTAAATGTGTTTACCTACTTGCCCACAAACGGCAATTAGAAGTCGCCATCGCAAACATTCGCCGCTTAATAATACTTCAGAAAATTTGTGGAAATGCTAACGTGTGACATTTTTATGAACCAGGTTTGAAGCAACGTATTTCTAGTATAGTTGGTGTGTATTGCGTCACGGGAGTTTATTAGGGAAGGACAATGTCAATACACGGACGCCCGGCTGGCGCACCTCCCACAGAATTGTTGAATGGAGTAGCGTGGCTTCTACAAACTTAGGTTTACGTAAATATTGTCTGTCGATTATATTCGATTGCAAATTGACGTTATGTGGCATGATGTCGCGAAAGTCTGAAATCGTTCGCGAGTGCAGGGCTTTCTAGCCAAAATAGGAAATCTATTCAATGATTGGAATTATATGTCGAGTAGTTCTTGAGTCTAAGTAAAATTCCATGACTTAAACTCGAGAACCACTCAACATAAAATGGAAAATCACACTTTTAGTTGTGAACCACTTTGCAACCAAACAATTGCGATCTGTACGGAATTTAACTTCAAGAGGCATTATAATAGTAGAAATAAAGTTACATTTGATTCTTACACTAATAAAATACGAGTGGACAAAGTATCATTTTTAAAATCTAAACTTTAAGGCCGACATTCGATGTTCACAAAAGCTACAGCTCAAAGCGATTACGCCTAAATATCGAGCTTGGTTCTTGCTTTGAAAATCGCCAAGTGATGCAGACGCTTTTGGTGATGGCGATTTCATTAAAGATCGCATATTGAATGAAAAACAAATCTAATCCAATCTCAAAAATAAATTTTACAAGTCATACGGCTGTCAAAAAACACTTGCTTCAAGAATAAAGTCTTTGCTGAATAAATGACATTTGCTGTAGTGTTGCCTGGCAACGAAACGTACTTCAACAGTTGTTTACATATCGCAAAGTTTTCTATAATATTGCCGGCAGCACGTTTTATAGAGTGCAAGGCAAAGATCCAAGGGTATAAAAGGTTCCTTGAGGAGAGGTTTTAGAAGACGGACCCCTTAGGTGAAGTTTCGAACGGATTCGTCTGACATGAAAGTGCCAGCGCATGCTCCGGTCGAAAGTGACACCCCTCCGCTCGCTGAGCGCCATTTTATATCCTGGCATACGGTCGGTCACCCGCAGCTTTGCAGCGCAGTTCTGTGTGACCGCGGTGTGCAATGCTGCCACACTTCCCTGCTATGGAGCCATTCCCATCCTTTCGGACATCTATGGCTGATCTGCGAAATAGAAAAAAAAGAACAAGGTCAGGAAAAACAATAGCCGTTCGGCGCGCTTTTGGCGTTGTTTACCACAATTTTCATGCAAGTATTGGCGTTTCGCCTACTGTAGCATATCTCTCGGGCGCTTGTACGTGGCCGTGGGACACGCTCGTACAAAGTTAAATTTTTAATAAGGTCATTATTTGACGCGTTTATTTAGGAAAAGAAGTCAGTAGCTAAATTTTTAAAGTGCTCTTCGAGGAGCGGTAGTTTTAATATTGAGTGTAATTCTGAGACATACAAAATTGGCGCGCACAGTATGCAACGAAGGCACATATTTTGTACTATTTACAACTTATTCAAGTGCGCGTGCGCCACTATTCCCCAACTTGGACAGGCGTAATCCATCATGGCTTTATAGATCAGCAGGCTATTCGCTGTAGACAGTTTGCTTCGCTTATGTAATAAGCTTCGCAGCATGCCCAGGCGTTGCCAGGCTTTGCTCGAAACCGCGTCCGCGTGCTCGCGGAAAGTTAAAGCACGGTCGAGCGTGGTGCCGAGGTACTTTGTACTGGCGCGATATTCACTGTTTGAATTGCATAGAGCGAGCGGCCGCGGCTGGTTGTATTTATATCGACGTGTGAAGAGCATACGTTCGGTGACGTGCCCTGCGGCGCTTAGTCAAGCACGACGGCACCAATACGCCCGCTTTCACTGCCCTCTCGTGGGCGGCGCTTGTACTTCTTGTGGCGGCTCTTTTAACGGTGCGCGGGCGTCTACTGCATGAACAACCTGATTATCATTGTAAAGGATAGTTTACGTGTTGTTTTAAATAGTAGCAGATTAGGTGGACGACAATCTACATAACCACATTGCCAAATTTCGTAAGAACAACGAGTGAGTTTTCAGTCGGTTTTGGAAATAACATACCTCCTCGTTCTAGTATAGAATCATTTTTTTTTAATTTATTATTTTTTAATTTATTTTAATTTATTAATTTATTGTCAACACTTTCAAAATATTAAGCTAGGCGCTTCTTGCTCTAATCTGAGTTTCTTGTATTTATTCCAATTTTATCAGGTTCATTAAAACGTATTCGTGACATGTCAGCTAATCGCTTTTTACTCTTTACACCCACAAAGCCGACCTTCTGAAAGCCTTCAAACACATAAACAGTAATTTATATCAACATATCCGAATGTTGGAGGAGATTGTTCTCTACACAGAGGGTTGGGTACAAGTCGGCAACTTTGCGAATCTTCCTAACCGTGCACTCGTGACTGCACAAAAGACACACACACCACACCCTTCCCTTCCATCGACAAATATATGTATAAACCAACGTAAACAGGCTAGGAAGCGCGTTAAAACCAGAACACGTAAAGCTGCGCATCCTATCACAGTCGAAAACAAAGACATTCTTACTGAGCCAAAAAAAAAAAGTACTTATTTTAGCTGACAGCCATGTCCGCCATCTTTCCTCGATTCTCAGTAGGAAGTTACCCTCCAACTACTCAGTCTCATCTATTTTTAAACCTATCGGGTGGTTTGCAGACGTAACTGCAGAGTTGGATACCCACACGAAGACACTAACCAATTAGGACAAAGTCATTATCATAGAAGGGCAGAATGGCATTATTTTGGGCGGTGAGTTTACACCTGAACAACATGTAAAATGTCCTGCATATGGGGGTTCTTGCATTTACGTTAAAAACAATAACGTTTCTATCTCCTTGACGGAATTAAATGTGTATTCCGTTGAAAATGTTTTTGAAATATCTGTAGCACACCTTCCTACGCTAAAAATTATATTACTTTGCATCTACAGGCCACCAACAGAAAGAGTAGGAGGTTATACTATGTTCTTAAAAAACTGGAGTTAACACTAAACAAAGTCAGCACTCGCTCTTTTGAATCCATTGTTGTATGCGGAGATTTTAACACTGATTCTTTAGTCGAATTTTTCGAGAAAGATCTGTTTCTCAACTTAATCCATTCCTTCAGTTTAGATATTACAATAAATATACCTTTACGGATTACGCTAAATTTAAAGGTTATCGATCAAATAATAATTAACAAAACCATTACCCGATATGATATTTACCCATTATGATATTGAAACAAAAGATTTAGGATACAGTTATCACGATGTACAAATTCTTATCATTATAAGAAATGCGAACACTGACAATAAATAATACACGT